AAGGGAGGGGAGGCTGGTAGGACGGGTACCTGTTCCAGGCGGCACTTGAGCATGGCCCACTCCACGTCCCAGGCAGCCTTGTCACTGGCATATTGCTGTTGCAGCCGCAGCCGGGCATGCTCATCCTCCCGCAGCTCGGAGCGGAAGTCCTCCAGCAAGGCCTTGAGGGCACCAAACAGCTGCTGGTTTTCCACCACCTGTGAAGACACCACGTTAGCCTCTGTCATCACACTGAAGGGTACTCTTTAGGGTGGAAGCGGAGGAGATGTTGCAATTGAGGTGTCACTGGGGCTGTGCCCTGGAAGCCACCAGCAATGGGTTGGACATCTGTAGTTAGTGAGAGAGAGAGCACATGCTCCATTGTTAGCCATCGGTCCCTAGAGCTGAGGCTAAGGGCTTGACAAATCAGGAAGAAAGTGGAAGGAAGGCTGCCCCTGGCCAATGGGCAGCTGCAGGACCTGCTGCAGAGGTGCTCTGGGCCCAAGGAGTAGAGCAAAGTGAGGACCTGCATGAGACCACAGGGAGCCCCCAAAGCCAGGGCTGTTAGGATGTTCTGTCTGATTTCTAATGTGCAGAGGACTGAGTCGAACTGACCGGACTGCTGTGAGTATGCAAATATGACTAGCTATATACACTGACTTACGTGCATGCTACCACTCTACTGCCAATCATTGAACTATTATACAATAAAGGCTTGGAGACTCTTACAAAGGTAGGGTGGTCCAACTCAGACTTGTAGTTATTAAGAGGCCATGTATGCGACAAGCATAGCCACTGGGGATGGACTTTTGATATTCAATTTTTAAAGCCAAAGATGAAATGCTTAACCTGTTTCTGAAGGCTCTGTCATGGGACCCCAAGACAGAATGACTGGCTCTCATCTTTCAGCCTCTCAGTCCTCTGCATGCATTTCCCCAGTCACGCAGAAAACAGCTGCCCCTGCTTGCTTATCTTACACCTGACTCACCCCCATGCGCCTGTGTTTAGCACAATCCCTGGATCCTATTAAGCATGCAAACATGTCTGGTCAATGAAGAATGGATTTTTTATTACTAATCTACTTATATCTAATCTATACGATTTTCTCTAACCTGTCCATCCCTTTGAAGGCAAATTTCAAAACCATGATTTCTATCTTATAGTACCTAGTTAGTTCATTATATCAGAAAGGTTTGACCAAAGAAATGAAACAGCCTGGGTCAATTATGGCTCCTTGGTAATAAAAGCCACAGGAGCCCATCTCTTCCAATTAGACAGAGAACACTAAGAGGGCATTGCAGGCTCTCAGGGTGTTCTTGTTGGGGACACTTATGAGCAGGAGAATAAAAGCTGTTAAGTCATGCTGGATGCAGATAACTGTCAGTCCCCCACACCTACCACCCATTTGATAAATCCAACCTGCTTCAGCAAGTGCACTTGGGACCTCCCAGCTTGGCTCTGCACCGATATCTGTCTTCCTTCCTCAGTCACGCTTCTAAGCCTCTCTAGTTAATTCACTAAACATACACAGGAACAGTCATTATGGGAAGAATTTAAGATACCACAGATTGGTGTTTGGATTTAAATAAAGTTGGATTAAAAAAGAAGAAAAATTTTTAAGGTGAGATTTATTACTGAAAACTCCATAGTGGCCCCCATAATTTAGCTAAGGAGTTACACAGAAGACTTTTGATAAAGTAGAATGGCCTACTTATTAGTACTTATTGCTCTCTAATTTTTCTCATCCTGAATATCAAAGTTTTGAAAAGTTTACTTAGTTATTTCTTCCAGAAGAGAGACACAGAGAAAGACAAGCACCTCCACAGGTTCTTTGTGCCACAATCCACCCCTAGTCTCAGCTGGCCTGGGTCACAGGTGCATGTACTCATCTGCTCAGTGCGCTCAGGGAGGTCCCAGGACATGAACCCAGGGCCTTTCCCATGTGGGTCCACCTGTCTTACTATACTGCACCACCTGGTCCCAAACATTAATTTTTGTGGGACCAAAGGCACTAGGAGTAAAACTTGGTTAATATTTGAAAAACTCAGGGCTGGCAGGTGGTATGATGGTTAACTCCCAATATGGCCAACAACCGTTTGAGTGCTGTACCTGGCAGCTTGCTTTCTCACTTTCCCTCTCTCCCCCTCTCACTGTGTCCTTCGCTGGTCAAATCATAAAATAAATAAATAAATAAATCAACAAATAAAGTTCAATTGTTTATTTGAAAAAATTTTTTTGAAAAAATTAGCAGGTAAGAGAATCATCTATAAATGGTTTACCTTCTTTCCATACATCTAAATATAAATAAATTACCACTATGTAGTCAGAGATACTCATGAAATGTGTGAAGTTGTAACAAATGCAGACTTTTTTAAACTCCATGCCAAAAGTATCTAAAAATTCTACAAGAGCAGTTGAATGAGAAGAGGTGGCATGACAATCTTTTATAAATAAATATCTCAATTTGTTTCTGAAATATTATGCATATAGTATGGTAGATATAGTTAGTATTTTTATCTTTGGGTTTTAAATGTGAAAATCATTACTTTTTGGGTCAAAAGAATTTCAATCATAAAATAACAGCAATAATTTTGATTTAGTCTTTAGAGTAGTATTCTAATTTTCACCAGAGAAATCAGAAAACTGTATAATCATGCTTTTATTTCACTAATAGCTTTCTATACATCTCAAATCTCATATGGCACCAGCCTGTGCTGTTCTGAGCCCAAACACCACACGACTGCTCATAACATTAGAATCAGAACTTCATAGTGCTTTTATAGATTGAAAATTTGGTTTCTCTGAAAGCAAGTACTTTTTTGTCATTAGCAGATATCAAATTCAATTAAGTCAAGTCTTAGTATTTTTGTGCACATTTGGGTCAGAATAATCAATGCAATGTCCCATTATGCCAGGACAGTATTAATCATCATGGAATGAGCTCCAAACTTGCTTGGAGTGAAGGTGGCACAGAGAGAGCCCAGAGGGTCAGTGCTATTGGCGCTGCTATCATCAGCACCTGGGAGCAATGTGTAGCTGCCAGGAAGCCGGAGCAGCTTCTGCCGTCTGCACAATGGCAAGAACAGGTGGTCCCATCAAAGGCTCTGAAGACCCATAATGAGCCATAGAAAGGCATGATTCTTCATGACTTTTACATACATGCAAAAAAAAGATAATGTAATCACTAATATGAATTACTTCCTCTGGGCCAAGGGTCTGCTAAATTATTTGCCTATATAACCTTATTTATATTTCGTGGCAATCTGGATGTACACTGTTATATTCCCTATTTTACAGATGAAGAACTGCTGGTTGGAACTCAGGGTTAAGGAAGTGAGAGCAAGGAGTGCAATCCAGGTCCATCTTGCTGCAAGGACAGACAAACCAAGCCAGGAGTATTTGAATTCTGACATATTCAGCTGAGGCCTTGCCTCCTCCTTATTTCTTTCTTTCTTTTTTTTTTTTTTAAACTTTTTACTTTAAGGAGTGCAATCCAGGTCCATCTTGCTGCAAGGACAGACAAACCAAGCCAGGAGTATTTGAATTCTGACATATTCAGCTGAGGCCTTGCCTCCTCCTTATTTCTTTCTTTCTTTTTTTTTTTTTTTAAACTTTGCATTAGAGAAACCATCATATCTTATGAAACTAATTTCATCTCCCCTATCGAGGGAAATAATTAAAATGAGCCATCACTCCTCTTGTTTTTTCTTGCTGAGCTATGTTTGGGGTAGAAAGATGACCCAAATCAAGTCAAGAACCAAGATTCTGGTGCACGTAGTTGTTATACTGAGTCTTTTTGGATACAGACGTGCCTGGATCTTCCACACCTTTTAGCTTTGCATTTGCTATGTGTAGGTCTTCTTTGACTAAAACCACACAACTTTCAATCTCTGTAGAGATCCGTTGGTTGGCTTCTAGCAGAGGCCAGATAAAATGGCTCTGCTATCTCCTCCTTCGTCTAAGGGCATTTCAGCCCTTCCTAGCTCATCTCTCTGGAGTGAAGCTTAAAATAACCCTGAAATGGAGATCAGCAGCTTGACTGTGCTATATGGTGTCAAACTTTACAACAGGTTCAAGGTTGGCCTTCAGCCAATCAGACTGCTGTTTAAATATACACTAAATAATATTAACAAGAGAGTGCAAAGGAAGTTTACAGATCAGGTAATACACCAAGATATCTGTGATGCTATGCCAGCTATTTTTTCACTCATTCTGCCTAAGAAGGCTTTTAAGACATGCACATCAGGTAAGATCATAACCGTGAAAGAGCAAAACCACTTTGCTTGCGTTAGAGCCATGGACTTTGGGGGCAGATTTAATCCAGAGTTGGAACAGATCTTTTGGCCTGTTGTTTTGGGTTACCCACAACATATGAGCTCCACCTCCTATGTATTTAGACTACTTGACATAGCAGGGGAATTCAGAATGTTATAGGGAAGAGCTGGCCCCCTCACTTGCCTGTGAGCCCCAACACAGGATGGGTAATTCCCATGTGATTCAGGTAAGAGGGGGGTCTCATGCAGCATTCAGTGAAAGCAACACTTCCATCGGCAGGAGTCCTGAGGCACCTCCTTACTGCAAGGCTGGCCAGAAGGGCTACCTTTACACATTCTGGGACATTTTTATAAATAAGCCATTGGTCATTCTTTCCTTCATTGTGACATTCAAATTCATTTAAAGATTCTTTTCTAAAACCATTGTCCTTTCATGGATACAAGAGAATGGGCCATGGAAGATTGGCCTTGAAAATGTAATCCATTACTGAAGTTTATGGGAATGATACTCGTTTGCCTTCTGGCCACAAGAATGCCAGGTGATCTCATCCTGGAGACCTCTGTGTCTATGGACTTGATCATTTTTTACTGAGAGCTCCTCAGACCAAACACGGGCGTTTGAAAGAATTAAGGAGGTGCATAGTTAGTAAGCCATACACTCCGGGTTATCGGCTCCAAGGCTTAAGAAACCAGAGCAGTCTGATGGAAATGGGGGGGGGGATTTGGGAACCCCACTACTAGTAGGGTTTCGAGCTTTGGAAAGTAGGTGACCCTGGCCAACTCTGGAGGTAGGACTGAGATGGAGAAAATCCTTCCAGTCAGTTTCCTCAGGTACATGTGAATTTTTCACCTGTATTTTCAAACTAATAGAAATGACAGCAACAAATATACTTCAAGGACAAAATGTTTCATAAGCATAAGCTCTGGTCTGGCTCCTTTTCTACTAAGAGTAGCACGTCTGGGGCCAGCAGAGGTGGCACAGCGGTAATGCAGCCATCACACTGCACTCCGCAATGCTGAGACCACTTGGGAAGACCCCAAGATACGATAAAAAGTTGAGGATTTTTAGTCGAAGAGGACCTATACATTACCAAAGCATAAGCTAAAAGGTAGCACAGCTGGACCCCTGTTGGGGAAGAAGACGTGGCGTGTATGTCTATGTATCAGTTCATGTATGTGCGTGTGTATACGTTACATATAAAATATAATACTGTTCAGCCATTATAAAGGATGAGCTCCTGTCATTTGAGATTAAGTGGGTGAGCCTGGAGGACATTATGATAAGTGAAATAAGCCAGGCACAGAAAGAGAAATATTATTTTCCCTCATATGTGAATGCTACTAGAAAATGAAGAATGACTACTAGAAGCTGGGAAGGAGGTGGGGGGTGAGAGTAGATCAAGAGGATGTTGATTAATGGAAACAAAATTATAGGTACATAAGAAGACTAATTTTTGCTGATATAAAATACAATGGGGAGAATATAGTTAACAACTTATTATATATCTCAGAGTAACTAAAAAGAGGGTTTTGAATGTTCCCAACACAAAGTAATGACAAGTGGTTGAGACGATAGGTATGATATTTATCCTGATTTAATTTTACTCATTACATTCTTATACTGAAAACTCACTCTGTGCCACTATAAATATGTATCACCATTATACGTGAATTTAAAAAATTACTTGATTTCAGGGACTACTACCATGTATAAAACGCATTAGCAGCCTTCAGAATGCTGGGCCTCAAATGCTGAATGCAGAGAAAGTGCCTTAAAGCTCAATAAGAACTACGCAGCTCACTGTTGCATGCTTACAACCTCTGCTCTTCCAGATGGCGGGGTAAATTGAAAATGCTGAGAGCTCAAGAACAGCCAGGTCACTGCCATGAGACCTATAACAGGGAATCTTTGCAGAGTCAAACGTTGCCAACCTGATGATTCTTTCGGAGCTTTTCCCAAGGTCATCATTTTTTAAAAACTTCTTTGGACATGATAAATGTTGCCATCTACAGTATTGAGACTGAGAACTTTCAACAGGACACAAAGCAAAGACCTAGGCCTGAGAAATTGTCTTCCTTGGGAATTTATCCCTGGGAAAGCAGTTGGGCCACGTTTCCAGGCTACTTATCACTTGGGAGGTTCTGCAAAGGCCCCAGCTCTGTAGAGCCCTCGGTGAGACACGTGTTCTGGCTCCTGCGTCCAGGCTGCCTGGCTCATACTCGTGCCACTGGAGGAGAGGCAAATCTTCTCACTGAGAATGTTCACTCCCAGCACACCAGCTGTCGCTTACAGTAGGGAGCTCATTAATCTTCTGTCCTCGGCTGGACAGTGCTGGGCACGCAGGGCTTTACTTTAACTACTGTAGACAGATGGGTCCACTAAAAGACAGACCTGATTCTGATTGCCTGGACCCCACCCTGTTAGCTTATCCACAGGCTTCTAACACACACTCTCGACAGCAGAAACTCAAGCGTCCATCTCTACTCTTAACGGTAATTGCTAAAAATCAGAGTTGTCAGAACGAGAGGCAAGAGAGATGACATTAAAACACACAGAATGTGAGGTTCCAGCTGAGTGACTTTACATTATTTTCCACCCAAGGGAAACATTTTCCATGACTGTTGTTTAGAAAACCAGATGCAGCTTTTTCCTTTTCCAAAGCATTTGAATGTGTGCATGGGAAACACCCAACCCATGGCCTTAGAGGTGGCTGGTTTGTGGCTGAATGGCAATCAAGGAATACTATTTGAGTTAATCATGGGAACTTTATAGGATTGGTTGAGAACATCACTTTTTAAAGTAATTAGTAGATTTTGAAAGCATTATTTGCAAAGTCACATTTTAACAGTTCCTGATGAGATCATTGCTAGAAAATGCATTCCATGACCTAACATCTCCCCACGGGCACTGCATAATGACGCACTTCCTAACGGCTGTAAGTGAATGTTCCTTTGAAAGTATAAGCCCCTTCTTGAGTCATATTATTCAGGGAAAATGATGAGTGGATGGATGTTCATAGAAAACAGCTGTTTGGGCATGAAAAATCTTATTTGTATAGGGAGAGGGAGCAGGTGGGGCAAACCCCCAATTTTCCCTTAGCCTGCACTCGGAACATTCCGCTTCTCCTCGTCTGGATGCCAGCCAAAGTTCCGATGACAACCCTCTCCCACTTGACCCACGGTGGCAAACGGCTGAGGGAGCCTGGCAGCTGTGGGGGTCCAGCCCAGAGGGAGTGCCCAAAAAAGTCTGTTGTTGAGAGGATGTGGCTGTGCCCAGGTCACTGCTGAGCCCCGTGTCCACCCGGTCTCACACCCTCACCCTAGAACAGGCATCCTGGGAGAGGAGGCCCTCTGAGAAGTCAAGTAGGGTCAGAGGTGACCCGAAAAGCTGATAGGGACAAAGCTTTAATACAGAGTCCCTCTCAGAATCTTGATACTCCGAGTCTGCCATAGCTGCCATTTTGTATAAAAATACAGAAAAGGTGAATATTATCGGCAGTATCTTTTGGCTTATTAAGCAGGGCCTATTTCTGGGGTGTTGGGCCACACTAACAATTGCCCAGTAACACAGACATCCACCTCTCTTTATCCATGCTTGGATTCTTCAGTGTCATCAAATTTTAAGGCAGGGAGCAGGCATTATGTTTCGAGTGGGCCAAAGAAAATCTGAAATAGTTGATCCAAAAACAAACAAACAAAACTACTCTTCTTTTTTCTCCTTATATACCACATTGCCAAATTAATGATGCTGCTTTTGTTGAGCTAAACATCAACAAGCCCTTCAAGCTTTTCTTCAAGGTGAGTAGAGCACTGCCTGCAAATTCTCTTTTCCTTGCTAAAACAGCCAACCGTTAATAGGAGACAGGTGACTCTATGAGGAATTTTTCTTTTTAAGTTCTTCTAAGGTAAATTCACTGGCTCCAAGAGGAACACACTCAAATACTGTGATCTTACCATGTTCTTTATTTATATAGTAAACCAAATAAATTAATGGGCTAAGATTGGAATGAAAGGCTCGATGATGTAATTTCGACCAAAAATCCAGCATCACAAATGGCAACAGGCAGACACGGTCAGGCCAGAGGAGTTTCTGCTGCCTGAACACCATTCACAGTAAGACAGCATGAACTTGGGTCAGGAGCGGGGTTCTGATGTAGGCACCCACCTGCCTGTGCTGTCCCCGGTCTGCAGTTTGGAGCCGCAATCCATGGTCACCGATCTGCACCGAGTGTGAGGAATGCTCCCCCTTTGGAAAGCTGCAGCCTCGGTCGCTGTCATCTTGGTCTGGTCGGTCCACCTGGTAACCCCCCTGGACTCCAAGCTCCCCAAGCCCAGGAGGGATCTCTGGACGCTCGCTCTGCAACCAGCAGAAGACCATCATAGCTTCACTCACATTGTTTTTGCTACCCAGAGGCTCCTCGACTTATAATGGGGTTCCATCCCCTATAAGCCCATTGTAAAACTGAAACATCCCAAGTCAGGGACCCTCTGGACAGCCTGATTTTTATTGTTTGATAATTATCCACTTTTTGGATGATCCAGTCTTTTCTTCTCCGTCCTTTCCTCCGTTCACTTGGGCCAGTTCATTCACTGGCACACCCTCCATTTAAACAGCATCTAGTGGGTGCTCAATTTAGCAGGGAAGATTAACTAGAAACTTCACTGTGCATAAATTGGGGCTGCTTATCACTGAGACTTTATACATTCAAGAAGGAGGACCACCAGAGTACTGATCAACAGAGAACTTCATGACCATCCCTAGGCTTTGCTTAATGATGGTTTTCTCTGTCACGGATACACAAAAGTTGGCCAAATTGACTTTTGAAGACTTTCTTTACCTCAGGGAAAGAAAATTACTGCATCTTCCCATTCACAGGATGACTTAAAATTATATACATTTGGGGCCAGCAGGTGGCATGGTGGTTAAGGTGCTGGACACTCCCACATGGCTAACCACAGTTCAAGTCCTGGACCTGGTAGCTTGCTTTCTTACTTTCCCTCTCTCTCTCTCTCTCTCTCTCTCTCTCTGTGTATCTCTTTCTGGTCAAATTAAAAGAGATGAATGAGTGAATAAAATTAAAGAAATAACTTTTTAAAAATTATGTATACAGTTCCCTAGAAAAAGAAGCAGACAAAAGGTATTTGGAGGCTAAAAGGAAACCAACTTTTTTTTTTTTTTTTTGAGAGGTTTTACTATAGGGCGCATGCACTCAGCAGACAGACAGAGAGACAGAAAGCGAGTAATCACCGCCCAGGGCAGATGGCCACGCTGCAATCCCTTCTCCTCAACTCTCCTCTCAGGATCTAGGGCACACACGCACATGCATCCAGTGTGAGTTTAAGCCACTAGGTCTGGGACTCGAACTACGGTTGACTACATGGACCTTCAGTGACATAGCTATTATACCAATGGCTGGTCACAGGAAACCAACTATTTCTAACATCTTGTAGGAGCTGGCCAAATAGCCAAGACTATGTATGTACAGAATGCATAGAACACTAGTGGTTCCAGTCCTGCACCATTTAGAAAACAAGCTAGAAAGTAGCCTACACTGCTGGAGGTCACTCTGACTTGATCTGTGTAAAACAAACAAACAACCAGAAAGCAAATAACTCTGTTCTGTTTCTATTATGAATCTGGAAATTGAAACATAGAAGAACATATACAAATTTCAGAGGTGACAAAGTCACCCATGTGAAGCTTAAAAGAGACCCCTATAAAACTGCTTGGGCCGAATAGGCTCTAACACATAGGAAGACAAACTAAAATAGAAAGAAGAAGGGAAGTTTTAGAACCAGCTTTTACAAACCAGCAAAGCTGAATGAGATGGTAAAGGGCCTCAGTCTGATAGCTTTCATGAATAAACTAGCAACAAAGAAGATGGCAGCAAAGCTTTGCTGCAGAATGGCATTACAGATTGGGAAACTCTTAAAACTAAGTCAAAGTAGCCTAGCCTGGTGGTGCAGTCAGGGGTATACTAAACTGCAGCACTGGAAACCACATGGCCCACTACAGGTTCGGATCCCTGCGTGAGCCTGAAAACATACTGGGCATGTGTACATATGCCCAGGATCCCAATAAGCTGGAGAGTTGAAGAAAGGGGATCGTGGCATGATAAGACCCTGTCAAGGGTCCATCTCCTTCTATATGTCTCTCTCACGCACGCACATGTACTACATGAATAAATAAGCTTTAAAAAAAAAATAACTAGGTCAAAGTACAACATGAAATTTTTTTTTGCTTTTTATTTATTTTTTAGTTTTTAGAGATTTTTGTTACAGGGAAATGTGCTCACTAGAAAGACATAGAGAGACAGAAAGATGCAAAGCAAGAATCGCCCCTTCCTCCGGGGGATGGCCATGCTGTAATCCCTTCTCCTCCATTCTACCCTAGTGATTTTGGGCACACACGCACATGCATCTGGCTTGAGTTTGAAGCTGCTGGGTCTGGGACTTGAACTATGGCTGACTACGTGGGAGTCTAGCGACGTAACCTTTGGACCATCAGCTGGTCTCCAACATGGAATTCTTGGTTTCATATATAATTGGACAAACTATTGGGTGGGCAACAGTGCCTGGCGGGGGTGGGTGGGGGGTCAAGAACAAAACAAATGCAAATAAAATGAACTCAACAGTACAGGTACCTCAGTGAAATCCTCTCCTTCTTCCTCCATCTGTTTCCCTTGCCGCCAATGTTTCAGCAGCCACCTGAGTTTGACGTAGAAGAGGAAGATGTTCTGCTTCAAGGACCGAAGTTCCTGCTGCATCAGATTCTTCTCATCACTCCAGGTTCGCTCATGGAGGGTGTTTTGCAAAGCCAGGCTGTGCATTTCCAGTTCTTTCCACCTCAAGGCATAGAGGTGCTCCTCCTCCATCTTGAACAGAATGAAAGAGAAAGTGTGACAAGTGACTATGCCAATTTGCCACCCAAACCAAACCAAGAATCTCAGCAAGCTGCCATTCGGTCTACATCATTGCAAACGAGATACGAAACACAGAAGCCCCGTATGTTTAGTTAGATTAATGACTTGACATATTTACAATCTTTAAAACCTTATGAGTTTTGCGATTCAGAAGCAAGTGCTATTTCAAAGTAAGGTATTATCATCATTTTTCATTGTCAAATCTCTCCTGGTGTTTTTAGCTGTCTCTAAACTCCTTCAGGGAAATTGCTTCTTGGATGTATGGCTCACAGCTGACTTGAATTCCACGTAAGGAGATTCTATTTCCCCTCGCTACCTGGGCTAGGCACACAAAGGCACATGACAAACTCTTTCC